CGAGGACATCAATAGGAGAAATCCCTTACGCCCTGGCATATGGGGTTGAAGCAGTCATCCCCTTGGAAGTAAGACTCCCGACAATACGAAGCCAAGCCTTTGAAGAAGGAAATAATGACTAGGTGCTCGCTAGAGATCTCGATCTAGTCGAAGAGAGGAGGGCATTAGCGTCCATCAGACTGGTGAGGTATTAAGGGCAATTGTCAAAACAACATCGGAAGAAAGTCCGAACGAGAGATTTTCAAGTTGAGGATCTGGTACTACGAAAAGTGGTGCGTAATACTCGAGAACCCACTGACGGGAAGCTAGGCCCCAATTGGGAGGACCCTTACAAAGTGGTCTATATGGAGGGCACAGATGCATATAGATTGCAAAGTATGAACGGTAATGATATAGCTCGTCCATGTAATGTATCGAATTTAAAGAAATACTAGTACTGAATTAGATTTCTTTCAGGCTTTACTTCTGGTTGTATTAACACGAGTCACGCGCTCGATTGTTAGGGGCACGGCCCCAAGGGGTGTAAGACTCCACCCTTGGAGCAATCCTTCGAAAACAACACTAGTCACGCGCTCGATCGTTAGGGGCACGATCCCGAGGGGTGTAAGACTCCACCCTTGGAGCAATGCCTTCGAAAACAACAGGAACCACGCGCTCGGTCGTTGTGGGCATGGGCCCGAGGGGTGTAATACTCTACCTTTGGAGCAATGCCTTTGAAAACAACACGAGCTACGCGCTAAGTCGTTAGGGGCATGGCCCCGAGGGGTGTAAAACTCCACCCTTTGAACAATGCCTTCGAAAATAGGAGTCACACGCTCGGTCGTTAGGGGTACGACCCCGAGGGGTGTAAGACTTCACCCTTAGAGCAATGCCTTCAGTTAACACTTGAGCAGTCAATAAAGAGAAATAAAGACACTGATGCAAGAAAAAAGACAATTCATTAACAAAAAGGGGCTTTGCGTCCCCGAGGCATACAAAGTTGAAAATAAAATTGCAAAAGTATTCAAGGTTGAGAGCAAACAGAGCTACTGATCCCCGACGCCATCGTCCTTGACGTCTTCACCATCGAGGCCGCCCCTTCGCCTTATCAATCCTTCCCCAACTCCTAGTATCCCATCAAGCGCTGTATCATGTGCTCTAGTGAGAATGGGGAGTGGTGGAGAAGGGAGATCAACATCCTGCTCGGGGAAAGGGAGAGACAAGAGAGTAGGCGAAGGCTGGTCAGAACTGTCGCTAAGGGTGATGGGTTCATTCTCACCCTTGGCCTCGGATGCCCCTTCCGCCTGAGTTTGCTCGCTTGGGTCAGCTTGAACTTATTCCTCTAGAACTTCATCATCGCCCTCCCCTCAGAGGCTGTGCATGGCAAACAAGTCCGAGCCGACCTCAACATGGCAGGTGTGAAGGGCGACTTCTCAACCTTCCTTAAAAGCTTTTTTCTTTGCTCCCTCGAAGGCGGGCACCATTTGGTTCTAAGTGGCCAACCACACCCTTCGGCACTCAGCCTCCAACCTTCCTTGCTCCCCCTCTTTCTCTACTGTCAGGGAATCCACTTTTGCAGTCAGTTCGTGGATGATGGACTTGGATTCCTACAGCTTGACCTTGGAGGCCAAGACTCGGAGTTCATACTCCACGACCTTCTTAGCAGCCATTGCCTCACTCGCCATTACTTTTTGGAGCTCGGCGTTGATGGCGTCACGTTGGCAAATGAGCTCGGCTATATGCTTGGTCTGGTCTCCAAGGGTCCTCTCCACCCCTTTGATGTGTTCATCTTTGGCTGCCAGGGCGCGATTGGCGTTCCTCGCCTCCTGTTTGTAGCCTTAGAAATGCTCGATGATGGTCCTCATCTACTGACAGACCTAGAGAAGGAAAGAGCTTGGATTAGAAATAGCCAGGTATAAATGAAAGGGGCGATCGAGTAAAACATCCTACTTACCACCAAGTTACTTTTGATAGCGCTGACGAGGAGCCTGTTGTCCCCCAGGCCCCTATGCACGGCCATGTCAGCTTCAAATTATAAAGTCTCCATGACGGCGAAGGCTACGTCAGGAGACTATATAATGGAGTCTGCCTCCAGAATAGGGCACCCCCTTGGTTTCAGCTCGGGGGGGCCATTTGCCAGAGGTGACTGACCTCGGGGCATCATGGTGACGTTTCTGCCGACGCTCCTCAGATCCCTCTGCCGAGATCCTGAGGGAGGGACTTAATAAGTTGGGGGCTGTTCCCCTGTTGGGAGGGTAGGCTCCCTTGGTGGTTGAGGACACGGTGGCGCCGATGGAGACTCCCTCATTGGCGAAGCCAACAATGGGATAACAGGGCAACGACTGAGGGGCCGTCAAACCCCGAGAGCCTTGCTCTCCTTGCCGCGGCGGTGGCCTCCATTAAAGCTACTGTAACAAGCGTGTTAAACATGTTGTCAGGTGAGGGAGTCTACTCGAAATCTTGGTCAAGGTCAGCTTCGAGGTCTTCTTCTTCTTCTTCCTCCGACGAAGATTAATCCTCTCAACGAGAAGGATCAAAGGGTGGTGGAATCTAGGAGAAATGGTTGTAGGTCGGAATGTAGCCGAGAAACGTGTGTGCCAATTGCTCTATTGGGTTGAGGGACCAAACTTTCAAAAGGTCTGCGAACCTGACTTGAGACCTTAAGGGTTGAGCAGCGTCCCAATGATATCTTTCTGCAAAAATAACCAAAGTTAACAAGCGATAGCGAGACAGTTAACAAATCTTATTGTACGCAGGGCATACCTTTATCTCTCGGCACTTTGGGACAATACAATCCATCATACTCAGGCCCGGTTCCTTTCTCTCACCTCCCACAGAGCATGATCAGATCGTCCACATACCCCTTGTTTGAGTCAGGCATGTGGGTGACCAGGTACATGGATGTATCCCGAGCTTAGAGGGAGTACCTGCCGCCGGTGACTAACCTTAAGTTGTAGTAGAACAGAATTTCATCTACCTCCAGGTTCACCCGAACCAAGCGTTTAGGGCGACTATGCCCATAACTATCCTATTAAAATTGACTCCACATTGGAGGGGGAAGAGTCTAAGATTCATCAACATCCTAAGGAAGAGAGGGTGAAGGGAAAATGTGACCCCCCCCTTCCATTATGGCCTTGGTATAGAAGGGCATCATCTCTACGCTCCCTAGGTCTCTCCTATGGAAGGTGGGATTGAAAGGGAAGACGAGAACAAGCTCAAGGAGGTTGTATTTGGCCTTAAAGGCTTGGATGTTCTCATCAACCACTTTGGTTCTCCTCAACTTACGATTGGTCCTAGCCCTTGAAGGTTCTCTCTCAGATGTTCTATAGGTTCTAGCCATTGGTGGATTTGAGAAAAGATGAAGGAGAGATGGAAGAGGAACGAAAGAGACTCGAAGGAAAGGAAATACTTACAGGCACAGGATCTTCAGAAGGAAGACTTGGCGCTGATTGCTAGGAGAAATCGAAGGATGCAAAAGTTCTTTGCAGGCTTGTGCATCTTCTATTTATACTATGCGTATAGGCGGGAATCGAGAAGACAAATCATCATTAGGAGATTTGAAAATTGCGGCGCTAGACGTGCAAGTAACTATCAAATATTAATGAGGCGTGTTCTGCAAGCCTCCAATCTCCTTGCGCCATTTGTCCCATGTCGCAAAAAGAGTGGAGGCTGGGAGGCAGTTGACGGGACTCTAGACAGCTCTTCAACCCCTAGACTGACACGTGAAATAATAAAGCCGTTACGATATCCAGAAGGCGCCGAGGAAGTAAGCCGAGGTATGGCGTCCCTGAGGTGCCGAGTACGACAGCTGGCAGTACATTTAATATGATGTAACCTCTCATTTATTATGAAATGAGTGATGTTGACAAGGCTAATAAGTGTGCACTTGCAACCGCCTGCACTTTGATAACCTAGGCCTGTCATCATGATGGCTAGACATTAATGGCCACTACGCCGAGTATATATGATCGGCTTTCCCAGAGGAACTGTTCCCCCCGAGCATTTAATGTTCAGGTGCTGGTGTCAGACGCTGATTTGAGGGATGTGAATGCTCGAGTAATGGCATAAATACTCGGCATGGAGCCGAATGCTCGTCCCATCATCCTAGCATTAAGTAGGAGACTTGAGGGGAGAACACTCATTACACGAGGAGTGGCATGTCAGGCATTAAATGTCCAGATGAGACTAGAAGTCCTTGACAATTATTGCTAATTCAGGTATAAATATTACTCAAAAAAATGAGCAAAGGTACGCAACATTGATCTAGAGTATTCTTGAATACAAATTGCTTGAGCCTCTGATCTTAAACTGACTTAAGCTTCGGAGGGGATAAATCGGGTGTTCACCTGACCCCCTTTTTTCTGACCTTGTGACTATTTCAGGTTCATTAGATTGGAGGTCGCTATCTCAAACGATTGCAGGAATTATCCCGTACAGTAATAATTCTTGAACAACTAGTGAAAATCCATTGAACCCATTGACATTGACTTGATATTAAAATTTAGTATAAGTTTCGACAGAAAATCAAGACATGTTGAACACCCGGCTTCGGAGGGGATAAGTGGGGTGTTCATCTGACCCCCTTTTTTTCTGACCCTATGACTGTTTCAGGTTCATCAGGTTGGAGGTCGCAATCTCAAACGATTACAGGAATTATCCCGTGCAGTAATAATTCTTGAACAACTAGTGAAAATCCACTAAACCCATTGACATTGACTTGATATTAAAATTTAGTATAAGTTTGAATAGAAAATCAAGACAAGTTGAAAAGAAGTGTTTTTTCGGAAAGATGTTGAAAAGAAGTTTGATGTACATAAATGTTGACGACTGATGGTGGTGCACAAATATTCAAACTTGGAACTTTTTGGTGCAGCTACAAGTGACCCGGTGATTTATGGGGACACATTATTAGCAATGAAATAGTTGTAGCAAAAGCAGTTTGGCTTTTAGACGGAACTCACAATGTGAATCCTAATCAAGCAACTAAAATCTGAATCGGGAGAAAGAAAACAACCACAAAATCTCATTGCAACGCCACATACAAACTTGATACACAGATACTTCAAATACTACTATAGAAACAACAACAAAATTACGAGATTAGAGTTCAAAGGCTAGTTCTATATTGTTAAATTTTGAGCCAATTATGTATTGTTACTGATGGGACTTTTCTGAAATACTCCAAGATGAAGACAAGTGTCCTCGGCGTCACTAAAAATCCTGTTAATTGAGATCACGTACCATCGGCTTTACAAACTCCCTCGCCCCGAGGTACTTGACACGTGTCGAATACGTTTTCCGAACCGACACGTATCCGTCGGTCGTCATGTACAGCTACCCTAGGCAGAAGAACATAATTTGGAAACCCTTCTGTGCCATTATTGGGAGCTCCTTTTATGTTGAGGATTGATGTAACCAAGTTGTAAATCTCAACGTTCTCAAATGCATGGACCTTCTTCCCCTGTGGAAACCTAGGACCATGGCCGATGAATATTGACCTCATTGAGAAGTACTTATTGTCATACCCATGTGCTCCTCCACAAGAATCTTCCCCGGCCGGTCTCGATTGTGTCACTATAAACCCCTCATCGAGCAACCCGATTATTGGTGGAATCCGATTAGTGCCGGCGTAGTGCATCCGCTGGGGCAGATCCTCCTTGAGATAAACTTTCATATGCTTCCCATTCTCGACTTCTTCCAATCCTTTAGTCATATTGTCCACAATTTCTGGCAGAGGGTAACCGACCGGTGGGCGAATACCAAGCAGTGCCCAATCCGACTCAGCCCAATCCTTTGGAATTGCTAAATCATCTAAAAAGATTATCTTTCTCTCACATATACCTGCCATACCATGATCACCTACCAAAATTATGTGAACGTCTTCAAAAACCCCTCTTTTTTCTAGACCTTGAATCAACCTCCCAATCATACTATCAATTGTGCCAACAGCTTCAGTGATTTCAAGATCATCAGGTCCAACATCGTGACCTAGAGAATCTGGGTCCTGGAAATACAAACTCATGAACGCAGGAATTTCATCACTTGGCAAATCAAAGTACTCCAAAACTGTGTCCACTCGTTCTTTAAACGGTACAGATTCGCTAAAATGCTTACAAAAGTACTCCTGGCAAGTCCACTTGCCTTTACTTGCCTCAGAACCAGGCCAAAAGTATGCTGAAGCATTGAAACCATGGTTTACCACAGTCTCCCACAGTGGCTCACCAAACCACCACTTGGGGTCACTACCCCCAGTGGTCCTAGTGAAAGTGTCGTTAATGTCAGGATCAAAAAAGTAGTTGTTGATAATTCCATGATAAGCAGGGTATAGACCAGTGACGATGGAGTAATGATTTGGGAATGTTATAGATGGAAAAACTGGAATCAAACCCTCATCGGCTTCGGTTCCGTCCTTTATCAACCGATCAATGTTTGGTGTATCGGTTTTGAATTGGTATCCAAAACGAAACCCATCGGATGAGATCAAAAGAACAACTGGGTGGCTGAGTTTAGTGAGTGGACGGGAAAATTCAGCAACGTGTTCGGACTTTTGGTTGAGTTGAGAATGAGAAGGCGAGGAAGAAAAGAAGAGGAATGCGAAGGCACCCGTGACGGAAAGAGCTAAGCAGGCGGCGAGGAAGAGAGAGACGAAGGGGACGGTGGTGGTGGTAGATTTTGGCGGAGTTGAGGAAGAATCTGTGGTACATGAGAGAAGAGCTGTGGTTGAGTTTGGGGGGTCTTCTTCTTGAGTTGAGCCGCGTTTAGGCTTGAGTGAAGATGCACCCATGAGAGAGAGAGAGAGAGGAGAGAGAGGACTATTGGTAGCTATCCGAGAGAGCTGTAAGTGGACTATTTATTGAGTCGAAGCCGAGTGAAGTTTTGTTTCAATCATTATAGGAAAATAATTTGGAGATTCTACTAAGCAATAGGCCTTAACATTTAATGGGCCTGTTTGGGGTGGACTGGTTTTTTTAGGTGAAGGATGCCGGTACCTCTAATTTAATAGAATAAACGTATATTTTTTAAAATTATTAAAATAAAAATATATCTGCTAAAAATAAGTCATAAAAGTTCTTTTTAGATGCGGAGACGAAGAGACCTCTGATTTTGACAATCAATAATATCGTTAATTTCTTGGCATCAGTTACCAAATAGTCATTAATGACAATTTGCAAAACCAAACATTTCCTAACACTTTTTGAATTTTGAAGATTTTGGAATTTCAATCCTTATCATCAAAGATTGAACAGTGTTTATTTTTATATCTCACACACACACACACACACATATATATATATGTAAAAAAATAATAACATCAAACAGTAACACGTTCTACAAAAAAATAGTAACATCAAAGATTAAATTTTCAATTAAGTTTTTTATTAAATTTTTTGTTGAGTATGTTACTATATGATGTTACTATTTTTTTTGTTGAATGTGTTACTGTTTGATGTTATTATTTTTTTGTTGAGCGTATTTCTGCTTGATGTTATTATTTTTTTGTTAAGAGTGTTATTGTTTAATATTATATATATATGTGTGTGTGTGTGTGTGTGTGTGTGTGTGAAATTTTCAAACCGTTTTGTGGATACCAAAAAAAGTGATAAAAATAATTATCACAATAGTGGTAAAAATATTTATAAAAATGGTAAATTACGTGATAAATATTCATAAAAATATTTTTTTTTTTTTGTAAAAATATTCATAAAAATTATAAAAACACCCAAAAATAGTAAAATTTAGAGGTACGGTACTAAATTTTTATATTCGATACCATAGTCAAGTCCAAGTTAGGTTTTTCATACTGCTTGATAAATGATTCGAGCAGTTTAAGGATGTTTTGTAAATGAATTGAAGTCTGAGTAACTGCCCATCTTACCTCTTCTACGTTCTTGACAGCCCAATGTGGCTTGACCTAAGTATACTTAGTTCTAATCAAAGAAGTTCGTATTTATAAACGATTATTATTTTATTAACCACCCCTTACAAAACCAACACAATCCCAAACTTATCCCACACACATGCAAATAATTATCACTTCTCTATGCATCTCTTCTTCAATAGATTTATGGAAAATTTAAATTTTTATAGTTTGATTTTTTAGTTGACTATACCAGTTTAAAGAGATTGTTATTGAGAAATTGATTATTTTAAAATTGATTAAGTATTAGGTTTATTTTAAAAAAATTGTTGAGAAATTAATGTGATTTTGGCTTGAGTTAACAAATGCTTGCAAGTTGCTCATGAGTTAAGCTTGAATTAGAATCTGTACGCCACAATTGAGCTTGGTTCGAACCCGAACTTAGTTAATCACAATTAAGCCAAATCAAAAGACATGCATAAAATGATATACCAAAGAAGAAGATAATGAAATTGCAATCGATATTTGATTTGTAAAATTATATATCGAACAATACGTTGTGATTTGATGACAAAGACGATGACGAATGACCACCTTTCGAATTTAAATCCATGCATGGAAGTCAATATAAAAAAAATTTAATGGAGCCACATCATCTAGAGTAAGAACGATTAACATATATCACATTTACACACCATATCATGATGGGTATAGTTTTATTTCTCGTGGAGTCCAAATTTATTGTTTGTTACCCTAATTTAAATTAATTAAAATATTAGAAGGACCTTTTATTCTAAATACTAATGTGTGAACAATATCATATAATAAAGCTTAACATGCTTTTACCATTTCCATTTGGTCTTTTGTATTATGCACTTTGGTATGAATCTGGTTTCCCGGAAAAGACATTAAAACAACATTGAATTTAAAATTTTGAGGAACAAAACATTAAAACAATACAATAGAAATTAAGAGTATAGTTTACAAAATATAAAAAGAGTAGTTAAAACTTAAAAGGTTCTATAATATGTGTAATGTGGAGGCACAGGAATTATGTGTTGGACTAAAGGTAGTGCTGTGGAGAAAGAGAGAAGAATGAGGTGCTAGAGCTTCATCTGAGGTTGTACGAGATGGGTGTGTGACAACAAGAGAAAATGCACAAGTGGTTCACTGAGTTAAATAAAGAGTTTGACTAGTTTATTGTAATGGAGGTTTTTGCTCCTTAAATATCTATTGCTTGGTGAAGACGAAAAAAGTTACACTTATGATTCGTTTGATACAATGAAAAAACGGAAGGATGAAAAGTTAGAAGGATATAAAAAATATTATGTTTGGTAAAAAAGAAAATAAGAAGGATGAAAAAGTAGATATGTTAATTTTTCTTCCAACTCACAAAAATCAATTCTTCTAAAATTGGGAGGAAAAATTGATGAAAAATTAATTATGTGCTTAGACAGAACAAATCCTTTTACTTACGAATTACTATGAGTGGTTGGTAGACAGCCTTTTTCGTCTATTTTCTTCTTTATTGTGGGAGTAGAGGAAAAAGGACAAATATAAGGTATTGTACCTTCATTATAAGTTTTGTAATTTTATTTTCAAGTTTTGTGAATTATTTATAATTTTTTAGGTAATTTGAGATTGATTCTAAAATTAAAATCCTCCCAAAAAATTATAATTTGAACCCTAAAAATTACGGCATGACCCAAATTTTTTTTACTGTAAATAAACTAAAAAAACTTGTATATCAAGTCACAAAAATTTTAAAACTTGACAATACGACACTGAATTTTTTTCGGAATAAATAATTTCTGTAGGTACTGCAGTCTTCTCCTAAATAGAAAGTAGGACCCAGAGATTTTCCGGAAGGAAAAAAAGAAAAAGAAAAAGCACTACAATAAACTAATTAATTAAGGAAACTTTTAAATGTTTACATTCAACTTGTTATCCCACTCTTACATTAATAAAACTTGTGACCTCTAGAAACTTTTGTTGGGAAGATAGATCTCGAACCTGAGGCCTTTTTAGGAGGAAGCTTTCCGAAAGTGAGAGCTAAAACGCTTAGTTGCTAGATGTCGCGGGCCTTATTTTCTTGATGATCAGTAGTTTTATATGTTTACAAAGCAGAGTTAACTATTTATTTAGTCCTTAAAATATATTATTCGTATCAATTAAGTTCATAAATTATACTTTGCGTCAATTTAAGTATGAATTGTACTATTTGTGTTAATGTGACGCTTCCATTCATATTCTCAGTTAACTTTGATAGAATTTTTTTATGTACGCATCACGTGTGTTTGGAATTAGGATATAGTTTAGGGTTCAACACGTGAAGAATTTCGTTAAATTTAACGACAAATTTGGATGGCACAAATGTTATATTTTAGGGACTTGATTGACAAATAACATAATTTAGGGACTTAATTGACACAACCAATATAATTCAAGGACTAAATACATAGTTAACTTCTTCTTTTTTGGGTACCGTTCATGGCAAGAATATTGACTATTTCCACTAGGGATGCACTCGAACAGATAAAAAGTCCATCCGACTATGGCACAAAACCCCCCCTCCCCCCATGGCACAAATACCCTTTTTAGCCAAAAAAAAAAAGAAAAAAAGAAAGAAACACATCATTTAATACTTCTCTCTTACATTCACCCTACATGTATAAATATAACACTAAACTGTTGGGGTTGAGGTTTACATATATGTAAAATGGTTATTTTATGTTTAGGCATTTATAAATAATTGAATTTTCTGAAAAAGGGAGCCACATTTGGTCTTTGTCATGTCTTAATCGCTATAAATTTTGTATGCAAAGTCTTCCCCACGCACTGCCTTTTTTCTCCCTTTTTTTCCCAAATCTCATGAATGGCGTCCAATACATTATTCTAACCTCAAATAATTAGTTGTGTTTGATTCGCAATAATATTTTTACAAGGAAATGGAATTAAGATATGAATGGAATAAAATAGAATGTATATTATCATTCTAATGTTTGGCAACAACTAAGATTATAGAATTAAAAATTCACTTGAATATTTAGATAAATAAATATTTGAAAAATACTTAGACTTGACCCCAGACCCGACCTCGGACCCGAACCCAGACGCAATCCTAATTTTCTTGGACAAACCCCCTATTTAACATTGCACAAAATTTTTGAGTACGTTATATTTTTTTTATGTTGAACGATTATTGGTTTCATATATTCTATTCATGAATGTATGCAACAAAGTAAGTTAAAACTCAATTAATTTTACCTACAAATTATGTGTTTATGTTTCATTTTGTTCTAAATTTTTATGACATGTATAATTTTCATTCAATCCATCACAGACAGTTTAATTTTGAGATAATTTGAAACCAATTCAAATAATTGCGAAAAAAAAAAAAAGAAAGAAGAAAAAACTCAATAACAGATTGGTGAAGAAAAGGGAGCCACATTTGGTCTTTGCCGTGGCTTACCCACTATGAAATGTTTATGCAAAGTCTACCCCACCCACTGCCTTTTTTTTCCAAATCTCATGAATGGCGCTTAACACATTTTTCTAACCTGAAATGATTCCAACCTCAATAATTAGATTACAAAGGTTGAAAATAGTCTTAAAGTGGCTGGTAATTGTGAACTTATAACCGCATTTGTATAAGAATAATCCTAATTGAATACGGATATTTTCATTCTTAATGAGGGGCCACTTTGATTTGAATTATTATAGTGTTTAGACATAAATACAAAATTATGAAAGCATTCGATGCATGTTTAGTTGGTAAGTCTAAAATTATTAAAGGATTACCATGTGTCAAGATTTGAAGAGAAGGCGAGAAGCAACCAGTCACAACTCTGATTTGAAAGAGGAAATATTTGCCTAGGAGTTACGAAGCCAAATAATCGTCGATAAGGGAGAAACCGTCCAAAGAAGTGGTTGTAAAAGAGGAAAAGGAGGA